AGAAATCTGCTGGGGCTTGCTTGGTTCGGGTGCTTGAGGCTGCAGGCCCGGCAAGGGGTTGCGAAGCACAGGGTTGCAAGGATTGAACCGATGTGTGGCATGTCAGGTCCTCGAACTTGGATTGCGTCATGCGTGTTAACTTGCCGACGGCACTGTCGTCCACAGCCTCATCGAGGGATGGCCACGGCAGCCTTGGATGAGCAAGGCCACCATAGCGCTGAACGCGATCCAGCGTCACTTTGGGATACTGCAAGTAGTCGTACGGGCTCTCGGTGGTCGGAACTGCACCGCGGGGGCCCGTGTCGCCCTCATCGAGTTCGCAAGCCTCGTCCAAGTGCAAGGACTCCACGAACGCTGTCCAGCGTTTTTTGGAAATCAGGGGCATGGAGGTCTCGTAGATGTTGGTTCCACGGGTCAGGCGAGCATTGCCCCGTGCGTCGTGGTAGATTTCGTTGTAGCGCTGGCAGAGCTGTGCCACCATGAGGTTCATGAGGTACACGTGCCAGCATGCGGCGAAGGCCATGACAAACCACTTCAGCATCGGTTCATTTGCGACCGCGACTTGCTCGTAGTTGTCACTGTCATAGACATTGAAGGCAGAGGACAGCAAAGACTCAAAAGCCAGGGGCCAACTGGAGAAGTCCCGTTCGTGAACCGAATCAGCGGCCAGAGCTTGAGGCAAGCAAGCAATTGCCGATGCAAACGCCGCCGCGAAGAATGCCAGGACTGCTACATACAGCATGAACTCCCACATGAGGCACGAGCAGATCACGCTGAAGACGGAGAGACTGACATTCAGGTGCACCAACTCAGAGGTAAGAACGAAGTAGAGAACCATGGGAAAGGTGGCGAGGCGGTTGTAAACTTGGATTAGATTGCATTGCCATTCCCCGTGCTCGCAGCAGTTTGTCAGCAGCTCGCTGCTGACAGCAAGGCAGTGGAGCACTGGCTCGCAACACAACCTCGGTGAATTTGCAACTCACACTTCTTCACCGCAGTATACCAGAAAAGGTCGATAATCTTGATAATTTAGATGGCCAAGCAGCAAACACATCAGGAGCAGCATGAGTGCAACTTCGGTCAACTCTTGGCGTGTCTGCAGCACGTACTTGGGCACCGGCAAGCAGCAAAGGCGTGTCATCTGCTTCTGGCGAACTGCCCTGTATGTCTGGTAGGCATGCTTGGCGAAGAGCTGCCCTAGGCTGCCGATGTACAAGATCGCTCGGCAGATAATGGTGGTGAACCGCTCCTGACTCAAGGGATCGCTTGAAGTC